TTATGCTTGTATTTCATTCTCTGCCGCAGCACTGATGAAATAAGATGATGTTTGTTTATTCTTTATTACAAGCCACGCATTTTTATGTATTCTAAGAAATTATATGTAAAAAAAAATTGCTCACAGGTATTGATGTCTGTTTAATAACAATAATAATAGGTTAGTGGCATTACGTAATTCTATTAATAGTATCATATCATACGTTTTTGAGGGGAATAACATTTTGGTGTGCCGTGTTGAAGTCATGGGTGTGCCGCAAGTAGAAAAAGGTTGCGGAACACTGGGCTACAGTATATATATATGTGTGTATAAAAAAAATTTTTTTTCTTTAATTGCTACAGATATTTACTTAAATATACAATTTATGAAATTTAGTACCTAAATATGTTACAAGCAATACCAGCAAGAGTAATATTTCTAGATGTTCCTATATTTAGCATTTCACCTCTTATAGTAACATTGGTTCCTCCAGATACTGGTCCAAAAGCTGGAATAATGTCATATACTTTAGAGACCTAGGGAAAAACTTAATTAGTTGAAATAAGAATTGAACCTAAGTAATAATCAAACTGATTACAAAACATTAATCTTACTTACAATATAAAAAAAATTTTCAGATGAAACTGCAGTTCCTTTAATATCAAAATTCTTGATGTTCCAGTGAGTATCACTAACTTTCAAAACAACTGATCCATGCTTTGCACTTTCTACCTCTCCAGTCTTGCATTGAATTCTATTAATATAATAATAAATTAAATTAAATAAAAAGTAAATAAAATATTTTTGCAACTTTATCCTTCTGAAATAATATACTATAATTTTAATTATTCTAATTACAGTAGAGTCTTGAAAACTCGGCACTCGATAACCCGGCAGTCCTGATAACTCGGCCACACCCTGGCAGGGCAAAAAAATCCTTAGTTAATTAATTTTCATTATAGACAGCTTTATGCCTCATAAAGTATTTTTCTGAGGTTTGTCTTATCAGGTAAATTACTGTACACAGTGTATTCATTAATTTTCATTTTCATGTAGTAAAGGCTCTATGCCTTCATAAAGGACGTACTTTTCCTTTGTTTAAAGGTATTTGGGCAGTTTATTCTCTGTTGTATTCTCAAGTATACAATACATACAAGTACAGTACAGTATTTTCTGAGGAAACACTCGTACTTATTTTTTTTAACCCCATTCCCGATAACCCGGCATTTTCACAAACTCGGCCACCCTTCGGTCCACATTAGGCCGAGTTTTCGAGGTTCTACTGTA